TTTTTCTTTTTAGTTTGTCATTAATTAACTAATGTAATTTAATTTTAACAGATGTATGGCATTGAATTAATGATTATTATAATTGCCACGTGTGGATCTGCTTTGGCTGGAAATGGGTACGCGATCAGTGTTCAAGCAGTTATTATTACATGGCGATTCATTCTTGGAATTGGTGTGGGGGGTGATTACCCCTTATCTGCGGGTAAGCACTTAACTGTTTCACGCGATTTATTATTTATAAGAACGAATTAACCCATTCTATGTATCAATCAATCAATCAATCAATCAATTAGTAATCACTAGTGAATTTGCCACCACTAAACGTCGAGGTGCTATGATGGGAGCTGTATTCGCTATGCAGGGATTCGGTATTCTGTCCTCTGCCATTATATCAATCATCGTTTTAGCAGCGTTCAAGTCATCAATCGATGGAAATGTACAAAATGTTGATTATTGTTGGCGTATTGTGCTTGGCCTGGGTGCCGTGCCCGGCCTCGTTGCTCTTTATTTCCGGTTAACCATACCCGAAACACCAAGATATACTATGGATATCGAAAGAAACATTGAACAAGCAGCACAAGATATTACGAATGTGTTGGCAACTGGTACTTATGAAGAACGTAATGCTGATGAACCTGTTGTTCGTGTCGAAGCTCCAGAACATGGTTGGGAGGATTTCAAAAATTATTTCGGTAAATGGGAAAATGGAAAGGTTTTGCTTGGCACGAGCAGTACTTGGTAAGTATTTTTTTGAAATTCTGTTTATTAAATAAGCGAAAATTTACTTACTATTAATTAATTGATTATTTTAAAATATAGGTTCATGTTAGATGTCGCCTTTTATGGCATTGGTCTCAATAATAGTATTATCTTAAACGCAATCGGGTATGCAAGTAGTAAAGATCCATTTACGACTCTTTGGAATGTCTCCGTTGGAAATATTATTATTACTCTGTTGGGAACCATCCCTGGTTATTGGTTCTCCGTTGCTTTCGTTGATTCATGGGGTAGAAAACCGATTCAACTTATGGGCTTTGCACTCTTAACGATCATCTTCATTATCTGGGGTTTCGCCTATGACACAATCAGTAAACACAACGTTGGCAGTATTGTTATATTTACGCTTGCACAGGTATAGAAATTATGTTAATCCTTACTGGCTGAATTTAATAATTAATTTAACTAAATTTGATTTTCTTTTCTTGATTCTTTTAGTTCTTCCAAAATTTCGGTCCAAATGCAACAACATTTATTGTTCCAGGAGAAGTTTTCCCCACCCGATATCGATCTACAGGCCATGGTATTTCTGCGGCATCGGGCAAACTGGGTGCAATTCTTGCACAAGTACTAGTCTTTGAAGTGAAAGATATAGGCGGAAAAAATGCTTTCGTTGGCAATCTAATCAAAATTTTCGCAATTTTCATGTTTGTCGGTTTCCTTTGCACCTTTTTAATACCCGAAACGAAAGGACAAAGTTTGGAAGAATTATCTAAGGAAAATCAGCAAGGATTCGTTAGATCCTCCAAAAAAAGGGAGGAAAACCACTAAAAACATTTTGATTGAAAAAATAAAAACAATCAACCCTTCTTTAATATGTATGCTAATGTAAATTTTTTGCATTCATCAAAAACTTTATTCCTTCATCAATTTAATATAAAGTAATATAAAATAATTTATATACCATACTCTACATTAATCTTTTAAATTACACTTAATAAATTATATATATATATGATATATTATAATAGCCTGAGAAAATTAATTAAAAAATAATAAAAGGAACCTCTTATTTTTAATAAGAGCATTTATTGTTATTTAACACGTCTCAAATTTTTGTAAACTAACAATATCGATATGGTTGTGCTTAAACAATTGATATTCTTGAACTAGAAATGTGTTTAGTGTGGGATGTCTTTTTAAATCAAGCAAATTTCGTTTAAATTATCAATAGAACCTAAGAAACGTTTTTTGTTATTGGTAAATTTCGCGTTCAAAGTTCTAGAACGTATTTCAAAACGTAAATCAGTCACTAGTTTTCGAATTCAACATTCGACTAGTATATAAATTTTTGTTGGAGTGCAAATTCAAGCTCTATATAGTTTCTCAGGTGGTGATGTTAACGGTTTGGTTTGGTTCAAAACCATTGGTTTCATTATAGTTCAATTATATTTAATTACATATTCTATTTTTACATTATAAAAACTGAAATTATATCGATATGCGTATACTTCAAGCTGGTTTTATCAATAATGCTACCCAAAACTAATCAAAGCAGAATTACAACTTGTAATTAAATAAAATTTTTTACTCGTATTAAATATGAAAAAAGTGTTAGGGTGGTAACGTTCAAACGAAAATCCCAAATCCCGAATGCACGAAATCATGAAATCGTGATAATTTTGGTATTCCATGCATTTAGGATATTATACATACTTTCGGGATTTTGTGTATTCGGGATTTCGTTCATTTGAGATCTCGTTCGTTCGGGATGTCGTTCTTTCAGGATTTCGTTTGTCGAGATTATGTCGGGAGTGTGTTTGTCGTGATTTCGTACCAGACTATTTTAGGGCAGTTATAATCTAAAGAATCCATTTTAGAAATTGTTTATTTTACCTCATAAACTTTAAGTAATAATTTCAACACAACTTTCATTATACATGTAAAACGTATTTTCCCACTTATTGCTGATGTCTTTATCCACAGTCCGCGCGGAAAATAATGGCATGTAAATTATTACCACATAATTAACCTCTTTTTAAAAAGACTGATGTGAAAAAATACTTGTGAATCTATTCGAAATGTATCTTCGGCCACAATACATATCGATAAATGTGATACGGCGTCATGGAAAGCATCAATTTGACTCGCGTTTACGCAAATTTTACTAAGTCAACGAGTTTATGTCCATTAGTAAAAATATTCAATTTAGAGAATGATATTAGAAACAATATTTTATTATTTTATAAAATGAAAATTGTGAAAAAAATTATTAATAATAGTTATATATATAACATGTCAAATTACATCCAAACCTACATGGAATCATTAGTTGAATATGATGTCTTAGTTCGAAAGATAACTTTTTGTGTAGTTGTCTTAAAAAACCAACCGTCATTACTTTCCGTAAATAATCATCCGTTTTTGATATAATGAGCATTTATTTGTGGATTGATGTTTGGTTGGGCTTTTAATTGTTAATAGTTTGGCAGAGTAAAAGATTAACATCTTTGGGTGTTAGCGTCAGCCCGCCAGCAGCATTTACTACACATGTGAATTTACAGTTTACAGTAATTGCAATCATGAATTTTGTGATACACGTAATCTCTACAAACATACATTTTGATATATTAAAACCTGAATGCATATTTTATAATGTTATATATATATATGAATAAAACTTTCTTTTATAAAACATCTCGTTTTGATTTTAGTACATTATTGTTTTATTATATGTTTAAGTACGAAAATTGATTTTCATACATATTTATTTCATCAACATGCCTAATTTTCAAATTTCAGAAAATTTAATTAAAGACATCGTGCTTATAGAAATTTTAGCAATCAACCATCCAAATTATCTTTTTTATTAGATTCACCTTGTTTACTAACTTTCAGAAATATATTTTTTTGTACTTTTCAAAACAATAATTTTTTGAGTAATACCTAAAAAGATCAGAACTTACAGATTTTGAAAGTGTTAATTTATGACAATTCAATATTAAGACATCTAAATTCATACTTGGTATGTAATAAAATCAAGATCCCATAT